GATTTAGGAATTGGGAGGGATCGGGGGAGGGGAAGGATTGGGCCTCCGGTGAGTTTACTCACTCACACGGCGAAACAACGCTGTGGTTGTTTCACGCCGTAATATAACCAGACCTTGAGCTGTAAAAGGAACAGGATAGTTTTCTGTTTGATACTCCCACTCGCCTGACCCAAGGCGAAAGGCGTAATTTGAAGTAAAAAAATTTTCTCTAACAGATCCGTTTTTCCTCTTCACAATACATTTTCTCAGCTTTTCCAGTTGCCACCCGTCAAATTAATCACGTGCGTTTATTTTGCGGAAATCGCCACAGTAATGAACTCTAAGAACGGATTCTAAGTTGTAACGTAAACCCAGTTCCATATTCTGTTATTTCGGCCGTCGACGAAGCCAGCGACTATTTATAGCTGCGCTAACTTTTAGATGAGTTGCTGCAACTTTTCGTCGTCTGATTGTTTAAGTTGGTCGCGAAACACCAAAAATGCTTCGTGACGAAGTTCCTCTGCAAGTTTTATTGATGTATAAGTAAAGTGGAATATTGTTTATTGGTTTTCTGATTTGTTTTTATGATATTCTGAGAAATAATGGACCAGTGAATTGTATTACAGAACAAATGACAAGGAAGTTATGCTTTAAGTGCGTGGTATGTGGACAAATTTACTTGGTTTGTTCTTGACTAGCGTGTGTTTTAATAACTATTGAAAGAATGTCGAGATTCTACATACTTAAGTACGGTGGCACACATTAAAGAAATGACCTATGTGCTTGCTATTGTAAATATTTTAGAGATTATTTTTTTATTGTTTATTTTTGACATAACATACATTATGTGAAGTGGCAGACGCATCTTCCTTTCTTTAGGAACACCGATTGTCTTCATATTATTATCTAGAATTCCTCTACTTTCAAATAGTACATACCAATAGTAAGTACTAGTTCTTAATTTCCAAACATTCACTAAACTGATAATATAACATAGGCTTCTCTACGAAATGACAAACAAATGATACCAAGCACCTTGAAATGGTAACTTGTAATTGAATTGGTAAACAAAATTTTGAATAAAAAACAGAATGTACCTTCTCGTAAGTTTGGAGAAAACTCGATTAGAGCACAATAAGGCCAAAGAACCAGTATATAATGAAATTTCCTTACATTTCCTATAAAAATGAGAATTTTGCAAACTCAAAACACGTTTACAATTCCCATTTACTAAGTTGAAGTGGAAAGTTTTAATTTCAATGACAGCGCAGTCTTTTGTGTGGCTATGAAAAAGCTATGTAAAGCGTCGTTCAAATAGAATTTCATAAAGCAGGCTTGTAGCCGAGATTCAGACCTCGGCTTTATATGTATGGCATGTGTTCGACAATTGCTCGAGTCGCGTTTTGAAATATAATCGTTTTATAAAGGTCACTAGTTTCTGTAGTGGAAATAAAATGACGTAAAGAAAACGGCTGTGGCGTAGTTCCAAATAAGCTACATGAAGTATTATTATTCTTCGATAGCTATCATAACAATCTTAATAACAATCAAAGTTCTTAATTTTCGCTAAGTATAAGTAAAAGCTCGAGTTTCAATAAATAATTAATTGTTATTCTCAACAAATATGGTTCGAATATGGAACAATACAAAAACACTCTATCTGCAGTATTTGTGATTGGATTTTGGAAGTTTACGTAATAGAGTGCGGGGTTAGTTTTGGATAGTACTCGAATATACGAACTGCATATACGTTGGCGTCATATGAACTGTTCCTCTATTGTTCTTAGGGAGAACAAATATTCTATATCTATAACAGATCTATATGGAGATTGTATTTGTATAATTTTTACTTTCAACAAATGCCAAAGTTGTAGTTTAACAGTACAATATTTATAACTTTATAGAGTTCTTCAACAGATGTACGAAGACAAACAGAAATGCACCTTAATACTTAGCAATATCTAACAACATTGTTAGCTGATGGCTTTGAACTATTTTCTCGAATAAACAAAAACTTGGTAAACTTTTAGCGAAAGATTTTGTAAAGAAATGTGAAATGAAGCAATGAATTTTATTATAGTGTGGATGGAAGACTATTTTGTATTCAATATATTCAGTACTGCTTGGAACGTTCTCTTTTCAAATTCTGAGGCAGCCATCTTGCCGATACAGATTGAAAATCAGTTTCGTGCAAATATAGATTATAATAAATCTGCTATGAATGAAGTGCACTGGAAGTTTTATACATTGGCTCAAAGTAATGAACTCATAAACTACAGATGTATTTCCATAAACTGAACTTGTTCACAGTAGGCATTGATAGGATAGACTGATTTATTTTGAATTATAATATTTTTAAAATTAATTCATCATAAGGATTACGATTTTTATCATGTAGTATCGATTGTTTTTTAATATATGGAAGAATAGGTACTCTTATAATTCGATATATATAAATAACACAGCATTTCGCGAGTGTACCACAAATTGTTTCGGGCACTCAGAATTTGTGGCGGTCAGAGTTTCGCATCTCGTGTTAGCATAAGCTCTTCACACAGTGTGGGCAAACTTCTAAGTCCGGAGATGTGTAAGTACGTGCCATGGCCGAACTCGCCAAGTGTACTCCAGGCAACTCTGGGAATGCCCGAATGCCTAGATAGCCACAAACTGCCCAACTTTGAAACTATGTGCAATGCTTCCTAAGTGGCATACGAACGTTTTTAAGCATTTATTGGGATTGTAAAAAAATTTGGCATAAGTCTTGTAAATGATGAAAAAAAGCAATATCTAAATGTTATGATAAAGGTTAGCTTAGGTTAGTATATACTCAAAGCCTCTTTTGGTCTCTCTCTCTCTACAATTTTGGTGCCAAAACTGATTTAAATACTTATTGCCTGTTATATGAGACACACTTAAAAATAATATTAGTCTCGACTATTTCTGAGTTTCGGTATATTTCAGACAGCGGTTTAATGAATCCCAAAGGATATAACAAACAAGGGCCTAGAGAGCTGGAGCTGGCAAAATATGACCTAGGAAGTAGTGGATGCGGAGTGAGAGGAAATGGGGATCCGTCTCTTCCTCCGATCAAAGGATTTTCTTTATGTAACAGATCGGCAAACGCGCAGACGGATTACCTGATGGTAAGCAATCATAGTCGCCCATGGACACAGGCAACAGAGGAGTTACGATTGCGTTGCCGACCTTTTGGGGATTAGGGGTTTGGAGATTTAGAGATTGGGGAGAGGAAGCCTCCGGTAACCTCACTCACACAGCGAAACACATCGCTGTGGTTATTTCTCGCCAGTTTAATGTATCAAGAAGTCATCGGGGTCGCGCAACAATCTCCGGTAGCGTTAGCATGGGTCTGCGGACGGCAAACGTGGGTAGCACACTGCCTGACCAGAACCAGATCCGAGCGATTGGCACATCATGTTTCACAAGGGGTGAGAAAAGTCACTTGATAATTTCCCTCCCCATAATTAGTCTTTGGATAATTATTGTCCTCAAAAAAGGTAACAGCTGATGTAGCAACTCGTGATTCGCACTTCGAACAAATAGATGGCAGAACCGAAAATTATCCAATTTCAGTAAAAGAAAACGTTTGCTTGATTGGACCGGTTAGAAAGTTGGTTAACTTTTACAGTTCAGGGATAAAATCAACTGAACACGAGTTTACCTAACTCCATACCTTTTGACTAAAGTTTTTGATAAAAAGGATGAAGTCTTTATCTATATTTTTGTAAAGGCAATTCATTCAAGGTTCGGATCGCTTATCGTATAAGTAGAAGGCAGTAAATGGTTTATGGGTCGTAAAAATACCATAGAATTGTTTTACTTTTAATTTAGAAAAGTGTGCAAAATTACAAAGCACCCTAAATAAAAGGACACCGCATTTTTTCTATCTCTATGATAAATGTTTAGATTTTTTTTTCTTTGCAAGCAAAATTCTATTCTGCACTATTTTTGCTTTGGTTAAATCGTTCTCACATAGGCCAACTTAATATGAATCAATGCTACCAAAATTCAATCTAGAATCCTACAGTTATCCATATTCGCAAATCTTCTAAAGCCTACGCAAACGTTAACGTAAGCGAACTCAATCCGAAATCTTATGGAATATGGATCGAATAGACTTGGGAAAGGTTTTCACATTCATCTGATTATTTGTCAATATAAAAATGTACTCTGTAATGTGTATTACATTTCTCAACGATAGCAAAAAAAGTTTTAGACACTTTGAGGATGGTATTATTTCTCATCAATCTGCCAGTATCCATTGTGTAACATCAAGTTTGTTTTTATTTTTAATAAAAGAGGTTTTAATCTTTAACATTTTTTTCTAGGTTAATATTTATGCAAACATTAGTTCAAAAGGAAGCAAAAAACAAACTAAAAGCTGAAACTAACAACAGCTTGCTACTTTAAATTTTAAAATGCGTGCATTGTGATAATGTAGGCTACTTAAGCTTTACGTTCTGAGTATTCCACTGTTTTAACTAGCAAAAATTGTTGGAAAAATAAAATATATTTTTTCGACGGAGTGGTTTAGGGGAGTAGTATAGATTGATGTGGGCATCACATAACATGCTTAGGGTATCATGACGAGGCACAATATTCTTCACAAAAAAGAATAATAACGTAACATTAAACCTTAAAATAAATAACAACAGTACAATGGTTGAAAATAAAAACAGCGTCTTTATCTAACTACGACGATTTATCAAAGTACTGAAACTGTGTTACCAGAGCAAAAGTAAATTGTGGCGCCATTTTTAAAATGGCAACGACCACGGTCGCAGCCGCTGTGAGGTATGGTGCTTATTTAATAATGCGTCGCATCTGTTTCTCGGCTCTAACGTTCATTACATGGCGAGAAGCTAATCCAATTTTACGACCACATACACACAACACTATGATGTTCGTTTTTCCGTCCGCGTTGGCTCCCGGCGTACACTTTGTAAGGGAAATTTTAAGTTAAATTGTAGCGCAAACTTTGCGAGAAACTTGTTCCGTGGTTATCAGTGAGCGAGCGGTGTAGAATGTGTCGCTGTAAAGGAATTTTAAATTTAGTTACAGAGAATTATGGTAGGAAATTTATTCATCGCTGATATCAAAGTTCTATCAACATTGTATTTTATAATATTGTAAATTCAGTACATAACGTAAACACACAAACTTACAACATATGTAGTAGATGAGAGATGGTATGGATGGTGGACGCTGTGGTATCACTCCGGGCGAGCCGTCCCATTCGTGCTGAAGCATGGCTCTCCCACACTTAAGCATTATTTTCTATGATAAAAGATGATCTTTTACATTTACAAAAATACTTTGAGTTCTGTGGATAGTTCTGAGTAAAAACTTTTTTGTTAAAAACAGTTACATTTAATTTCTATTCCATTTTTAAAGCAGACAAATTTTGAATTACTTACTGGCGACATGAAATCTGTCTGATCAATATTCCGGGATCTTATTCTGCACTCGGCTCGATCGAGTAATTTGCATTTTATTCCCGTCTGAACGATTTTTATTGAATCGAAAGTTCGCAATCTGAAATAATAACAGTCATATTATTTATTTGTAATGGGATCAGGCGATTTCGCCTCGAGTTAAGCTGCGTTTTAACGCAAATACTGCGCAATGTAACACCTGCGTGCTTGCGAATTTTGTGCAATAATTTTCGTACGTTTTCAGTATGTAAAGTTGGTGTTGGTGGTAAAAAGTTATTATATTCTTATTGGAAGACCTAAGAATTATAATGTAATTAAAATGATATTTCGAGCACTTTACTTCGTAGGTATTATACTTCCATTGTATTATGGGTCTCGCTCTTTGTACTAGCAACTCTTGAACAGTTCATAATGGATATGTTTCGACACTAGAATATAACAACGCCCTATAATAAAAACGTGTTTTTATTTTTTAAAATTTGTCTACTCTACCATTCCCATGTGTGCAGTTACAAACATATAATTTCATATATGATATCCAATAACAATTTATGACGGAAAAAGAGTTAGAACGAGAGACCGGAAAATTTAAAATTGAATTCAAAATAATTTTATTGTGCTTTTAAGGCATACAATAATAGTACTGCAGTGTGATTCTGTAAAACTCCATTCTAAACTTCGAATCTAAATCCGCTGTTAGTTAGTAGAAGTACACTAGCGCTACACTTGCGAGTTGAAAAAAAAAATTACAGCAACATTTTGATAGATAAAGTATGAGATGACGTAAAAAGTGGCATTCTATAATGTAATTTTCCCGTCACTTCGACGCTCACTTCACACTCGAACAATATTCAAAATCAAACAAATTTTATAGAATCGACGCGCTGCAAGCATTAACCTACCTAAGTATATGATACTAGCTATCGTGTAGCGTGATGTTCTATAGCCTATAGCACTAAGGAACATTGTAGTTATCTATCAGTGAAAGAATTTTGGCAATCCGACCAGAGGTTATAAAGATTACCGGTAAGTCGGCTTGACCGGAGCGATACCTCGGCCTCACAGAAAACCGGCGTGAAATAACCACATCATTGTGTTTCGCCGTGGGAGTGAGGTTACCGGAGGCCCAATTCCTTCCTATCTCCCCATACCTTCCCAATCCCTAAATATCTGAAACTATTATCCCCAAAAAGCCGCGCTGATTGCTTTCCATCAGGTAAACCGTCTGCTCGTTTGCCGACCTATACCATAAAAAAAAACATGAAACTAATAAAATTTTGAATAATGTTTGTTATTAATAAAATCATGGATCGTGTGGTATGCTCTGATTATTAAATAATTTTGTAACTTATTATTATTAAGTCGTAGTTTTTCCATACATATTTAAAATGTCTGCGGACTCCTTATTATAGAAACTTATTGTGCTTAAAATGCTGTTCTTTATATTGTTTTCTAAATACAAATCAAAGTGGCTAGAATACTCCTATTATGGAAGTTTAACAGTGAGGCGTTTTGTCGAAAAGGGTACCAATATCAGACTATTTGTACCCTTACATATGTCCCTAACATCACTTTATGAGAGGATTTCTGCCAAATCTAGGGACGTATCTACGTAGTTCCAGTAAACTTGATTTGCTTTTTCGAATACTGTTTCATTTCTAGACTTTATGCTCGATACATATTGATTTACGTGCAAATAAAACAGGACTCGCTCAATACTAAATAGATAATACAATTTAATAAAATAAGTGTGCGAGAGCCATGCTCCGGTGCGAATGTGCCGGCTCGACCGGAGTGATATCATGGTTTTTCAGAATGCGTGACACAACACGTTCTGTTTCACTGTTGGGCACGCTGTTACAGCAGCGGTATGACCCCTCTTTGAGGAGTGGCTTGAGAGACGCCACGGCGTCCTCACCTTCCACCTGATGCAGGTGCTTACCGGGCACGGCCGGTTCGGTAGGTTCCTGTTTCGGATCCAGCGGGAGGAAACGCGCGAGTGTCGTCATTGTGAGGATCACCTAGAGGATACGGTGGAGCATACGGTGGCGGTATGCCCTGCCTGGGCTGAGCACTGCCATGTCCTCAGGGAAGCTATCGGGGACGGCAACCTCTCGCGCCCGGCCTTATTTGAGTCCATGGTGCGGAGCGAGAGGAACTGGGACGCCGTCTCCTCCTTCTGTGAAGCAGATACTCGAAGACATTTGATGATTTTCACCTCACAAAAAAAGCCGTGTGAGAGAGTTAAGCGAAGGCCAAATTCTATAGGCGATAGGTAGTGTGTCTATCGCCTGTCTCTAAATGCCTGCCTGTAAACCGAAAAAGGTCGACAACGCACTTTTAGTAACTCCTTTGGTAATACAAGTGCCCCTGGGCGGCGGTGATTGCTTTCCATCACGTAACCCGTCTGTCCGTTTACCAGCCAAACTCATAGAAACAACTTTTATTTAGTAAACGGTACACGTTTTAAGATAAGCTTAAAATAATGGCGCCGTTTCAAAAATGCGATAATTTTACTCTCTGTTTAGCTTATTCTTCATTGACAATTCATAGTCTACGCCAAGCCAAGTAATTTTCTTTCACAAAAATCTCACAAACGATATCATGTAATAAGTAATAACAGTTTGTAGTGGAATATCCTCCCTCCTAGTTTACGCTATTATTTCAAGCACACCGAAAACGTTTCTTTATAGGTTATACATTGCTGGTTTTGGTTATTATTTTAGGATGGTACCCGAACACAACTAGCCATGTATGTAGGAATGAAGTGAAGGTAAAGTTTACTAAATATTTTCAGTACGGGGACTTTGGTGTCGATTGAAAACGTAAGTGACCTGTGAAACGTTCCTGTTGAGGTATGGAGAATTGCATTTAACTTTATCATGGGGATGTTAAACTGGAATCTTCCACATACAACACTGCGCTACGGATTTTGTTGTTAATGAGTGGACGGTGTACAATAGACTGCGGATTGTGTGGACTCGCACGCTACTTCTTTTGTTTAAGCGTTTCATTCGATTGAGCGCCATTTTCCGATGGAATATATTGAGAGCGTGCAACCGCGGTATGAAAACTTTTTGATACCGATACTTAATGTTTGGAGAATTTGTATGTATCGAGTGCAACACTCGGGTATTGTAATTTTCTTACTGTACCGTTTTGCTACGAGATATTTTTTGAACTGTTAGTAATATATTGTACAGTTTATAACATAAGCCTGTAATTCACACAGTTATGTATACTATTATTATAAAGAGATAAAATTTGTTGGTTTGTATGTAGTTACTAATATTTGGGACCGCTATTCCCGTCGGATTTCCAAAATTCTTTCACTGATCCATAGCCACAATGTTCCGGAGTGAGCTATAGGCTACAAAACATCACACTACGATCAAAATATGGAACCCAGCAGCGTGTGAAACCGCGCGAGATTAGCTAGTGGCAATTAAATATATTGGGAAAATAACAAGCAAGGTTTTTTAGACATTATGTGATCGACTCAAATAGCAAATGGAGTTAAAATGAGACAGTCAATTATATCTATTCTCTATCCAAACAACACTTACACAAATTGTTGGTTGCAATCTAAATAATATTATGTTTCCAAAACTTATACAGCGTTGGTCGAATATTCTCTTTCACACAAGAGCTCTCGTGGGAAGCCTTTTACGACGCGACATGCGACGGTCGCGTGACAGAAGTTAGTCATTGTAACACCACATGGTCATGACGTCATACTCGTATCATAGACGTTTAGAAATTGGATTTTAAAACGAAGTCGTGGAAATTGGGTTCCGTATAGACAGATGTTTTAAAACATAAATTAGTTTTTGTCGTCTTCTTTTGAAAGTGTGGCTCGTGTTTAACGTCCGTCGTCTTATAAATTTTGTTTAAAAAATATCAGACAGGTATTGTTTATATACTTATTAAACGGAGTCAATCACTTTTGACGGTATATTTGAAATACGTGTGAAGTCAGTCCTAAAAAGGTTTTGTACTCGGTCATTACGGAGCGACTTCATCATTTGTTTTATAGATATAGTTCTTTCATACGATACATTTTGAATTATTAGAATTTTAAATAAAAGGCGCTATTTTTTATTTTTCGTAAATGACAACATTCAATGTGACGTCAGAAAAGTATAGTCCTTTTACCCTTAAAAAAAATGGTGGAACTGTGCATTACCAACCAAATATCTATGATTTATACATATAATAACACTATATAAAATATCCCCACATGTTCTATTTAAAGCCACATTACTGTCGGTTGGTTGCATCATTCTCGTTGCATAACTGATTGTGATACTCTAGTGGTTCCTAACTAACCATAATGATAGGTGGATGGATAGAACAGCTAGTTATAACCGTAGGCAGAAAATAATAAAATAAAATAAAAGTTCATATTTAAAAACTAATTTTATATAAATTAATACAGTAGGCTGCGTTCTTATCGTCAGGGGATACGGTAGCTTACTTACCGTCCTATCCCTAAAAAAATGCTATAAAAATTGTCATAATACAAAACTGAAACGTGTGTCCACGGCATATACCTATGTATAAGGCCCTGTTAGCGTCACCCGATATGTTTTATTATTAATAAGTATTATAATTATCAATTAATAACATTCCATAATTGTTATCAAAGGCAACAAGACGAAGCAGCGTCCAATTACTGATCTACCTTCAAATTACATTAATAGCTATTATTGTTCAGGATATAATTACTGCCATTGTCTTCATAGTTAAGCACGTACATATTATTATAATCATTGTGTATTGTCACAGTGACAATATTATGCAATTATCAACTGAATTTATAGGTATAATTAATCTGTTTCTAATCAGTTTGCAAATTGGCGAATTTAACCTATATATCCAATGATATTATAAGTAAAATGGTGTAGATAAGTTACATAAACAACATTCGATTTTCAAAAACGCCACACTAATGCACACATGAATAAATCGTATAATACACGTTAAAGTGTGATGTCCTAATTAAATAATCGCGAGTGAAAAGAAACAAATATGAAAAAGTGTGGCTAGTTAGCCAAATTATAATGTATTACTTGCTGAGCGCTTATGACATATTTAAACCTTTGCAATTATAATATCATTGTATATACCCGTCTTACTTATTCTAAATTGATTGAATAAAAAACGTTGAAATGTGTGTTATACAACACTTAGTTATGTTATGTAACATTAAATTTTAAGATGAAACGATGAAAACGATCGTCGACAAAAAACTCCAAAATCCGCAGTCGTAAACACGACTAAAATCGGGGCCAACGATGCAGTCAAAACTATTTCAATAAAACATTTTATTTTATTAAATTAATTATTTGAACAAATTTTACATTTGCATTTATCATTGCAGTAACTCGTTCTATTGTTATACAGCGAAGTAATTCTACATTTCATTTGTTACACACTCGAGAAAGACGTCTGTGTCGCACAGAAATTAGATTCAGAATGAATCTCACGAACATACTGCGGCGGTCGCCCGCATAAAGTTTTGACTACCCACAAATTGAGAGTGGCAACGTGACGCGAGTGTTATAATTGAAACAATGGTTTCTGCCCAGATTTGAAATGGTCGTGATTTAATACATTTAGTTTCTAGTGTACGCAACTTTACTTGTTAGGGAAAATGATATCTTCAAGTTGTTTTAAAGAATATACGAAAATAAGCCAATGCATACATTTTTTTTAAAACTTTACCCCATATTTTTCATTTTCCTGCTCCGTAGGTGCGTTTCCAAATATACAAATTCACATACACAAGACACCGAGACCCGAAACAGCATTAAAGTAACAATTTGTGGATCCACACAAAGTGTTGTTCAGTGCGAGAATAAAACCGGGACACGTTGCACAGCAGCCAGTTGCTCAGTCACTGCGCCAAAAGGTACAGTCATTCTTTTACAATACAGAAAACTAGCTATTCTCGCGCGGTTTCACCCGCTGCTCGGTTCCCTTTAAGCTAGCGTGATGTATATAGCCTGTAGCACTCAGGAACATTGTAGCTATCTATAAGTGGGAGTGAGAATTTTGGAAATCTGACCAGCGGTTCTAAAGATTACCCCCTACATACAAACATACAGACTTTACCTCACTATAATATTAGTATACATGATCATTTTCCAGAAAATGTAAGTATGCGAAGTGTATTAAATAGTTGACTAGATTTACGTGTAGGTACTACCTATGTATGTAGTATCATTGCTCATTAAACAGTCTATTAGGCACAAATTGTGTACGGCCAATATTTCACGCCTTAGTAGACGCTACGCCATTATTTACGAGACACAAATTTGCTTTATCCGGAGTATTTAATTTGTGTACACGTACTAATATTTCTCGCTTCATCTCGTTTGCTTTGAGACATACAGACTGTTGAATAGATTAGACTATCTAATAAGCTAAACATATTCATTACTGTTCTTATACTAAACGTGGCTTGTGACAGTCCACTGTTGAAGTATGAGTCTCTTTTACAGAGATATGAGGGTCAACTAAAATTTCTGTTTCTTGGAGGATTAAATGGAGTTTCTTGCTGGTTCTTCTCCATAGGAATCTACACTTTGAAACGAGCAAATAGCTTCACTAGAGGACAGACGGACAGACTGACACGCTTAAAGTTAAAGCTCTTGAAATACTTTTTTCCTTTTTTTTGCTTGACGTTCAAAAGTGCCTACTGTGGTCTAATTGACTTTTGACTTTGACTTTCCTCGCTTGGTGAAAGGCTAGGTACCACAGTTTGAAAGGCTCAAGTATATCAGACAATATTGCTGTCTGATTTCTGTCAATTGTGTACATAAAGGCACTTAGTTACCTCTTTTAATACCCACTTTAAGTTGGATTGGTGACAGATTTATATTCCTCTACTGTGGCACTCTGTTGGCAAAGAGCCGGACTGCAAGCGCAGTAGTGTGCCCTGGTCCGGAGAAGGAACTGAAAGGTTTTTAGTCAGTAAGCTAAAAACCTTTCAGTTCCTTAAAGTTGAAGTGTGGGAGAGCCAAGCTTCGGCACGAATGGGTCGGCTCGACCGGAGTGATACTACGGCCTCACAGAAAACCGGCGTGAAATAACTAAAAAGTTGTGTTTCGCCGTGTGAGTGTGGTTACCGGCGGCCCAATCCTTCCTAAACCCCAATCCGTTCCCTTTCCCAAAATCTCCAAATCCCTAATCCCCAAAAGGTCGACAACGCACTCCTAACTACTCCGTCGTTGCGGGTGTCCATGGGCGACGCTGATTGCCTACCATCAGGTAACCGGTTTGCTCGTTTGCCGCCCTATCACATAAAAAATGTAAGCGTCTAACTCGCACTCACTCAACCTTAACTGATGGTATAAATTAATTATTCCTTTTATTAAAATAAATAGAAATAAATTTCAATTTGAATGTGTAAGCTCCAGTTATTCGTCTTTCGCTTCAGTGTGTAGTAAAACATATTAATTAGAGTTAGACTCCGGTGACGGCTGCGGAATTCAACGTTTAGTTGAGTGGTGCACCGTTCACAGTAATTAGTTTGCTCATATTCACGTAGCGTTCAGGTGACAAGTTCACACGAACCGTTCTCTGATTCTTCAATAATGAAAGTGTAAGTTACGAGAACTAATTAAACACTAAATATTTATCAGTAGTTTCTGTTTTACAATATCATATCGTTAACCAAAGTCTGAGTAGGTAACGTTTGATACGTCGTCGTTACTGTTGAAATAAATAATATTTATACATGAAATAATTAACCTTTTTATTTAATGTTGTAAATATTTCCAGGGTTAAGCGCAATAAGGTAATGTGGCCCCGAACTAGAGTAGGAGAAGTAATTTGATTTTTAGGCAGTAAGTTTCTGACACTTCCTCTTGCTCCAGTGAGCTCGAGAAGCAATATGATGACCCCCCCTCCCAAAGGGTAGTAAATATTTTTAAAACTATAACGTTTTAGTTTCTAATCCTCAACAATGTAATTGTCTGTGGCTTAGGGATCACAGTAAGGCTATCGAAATATTATACATTTGAGAAAGGTTATGTTTAGTGAACGTTTTGTAGCTGCTAAAATGTTGATGAGATAAAGTTTAAAATTTGTCATAGAACCAAGTGTGGGAGAGCCATGTTAAGGCACGAGTGGGCCGGCTCCACTGGAGTGATACGACGGCCTCACAGAAAACCAGCGTGAAGTAACAGTTACGTTGTTTCGTCGTCTGTGCGAGGTCACCGGAGGCTTAATCCTTTCACCCATCCTCAATCTTCAGATTGAGGATTCCTATGCTCAAATCCCTAATAGGCTCAAATCCTGTAGGCTGCTGGCCTCTTGTGGGTACAAGAAGCCAGCAGCCTACAGGTAGTAACTCCTTTGATATTACGAGTGTCAATGGGTAAAGGTGCTCCCACACAGCAGTTATATAACATTGTGACATTTAAAACAGCGTGTAATAATACTCTACATAAATTAACTAAAATTCGCGGGTTACTCACGTGTAAATGTTGAGAAAAGCTCTACTAGTTTCGAACCACGGGGTTCTTCCTCATGAGCAGCGTGCGCGGACGCGGCGACGTCGCGCAGCCTACGCGCAGTAGGTACGGTCAGTAGAATTTTAGTTAATTTAGTATGTCTCACGATAGTTATTATAAAAACAAATACTCTACATGTTAAGAAATGTTAAATGTTATAAACGCTCCCAAATTAGTTGAACTCGTTGTATAACATTATGTTCAATCAGTTCGGGTCCCGCTGAGGTTCTGATGATGTTATACAGCAAAAGTTATATCATGTAATATCATATTCTAATCAGTTGTAAAACATTTTGTTAAATGAAGTTGTATAACGTCAATAACAATTTATTATAATTTGTAACAATTCATAACTTTTGTTATAATTTGTTTAAAAAAGTCAGTCTCTAACGTTATATAACTGATGTGTGGGAGCACCTTTACTTATTTAGGAGTTAAAGTCTACGAACATTTCTCATGGAAAGAACACTGAGCTAAGTAAATTTTACTATTTAACTTATCGAGTTCCTACTAGTACCCTTAAAATGTGTACGTATTTGATCAATGAATAAATAATAAAAATCAGTCTGTTCGCTTGCCAAACATAAAAAATGGACGGGACTTAATTATGGAATCGTTTCATGAACGTCACCTATCATTGTATGTCTCTTTTAGTAATAAAAGTAACAACAACCAATTATGAACATGGATGCTTTTAAAAGTCACAGAGTAAAATGGATCAGTCGGTAATTACGTTGAAAACTGATTATCCAAAATAAACCGATGTTGTTGATACATGCAGCCAATTAATATTTACAGTTTAATTAAAAGATTCATGAATGTAGAACCAACGGTATTGTGAGGAGAGATCCTTAATTGTTGTTCGATTCGATGATCTGGTCTCATAATGTACCTATAACATAAATGTTTTGTGAACAAATAAACTTTGGAATGTTCATTCGGAGGCGGAATTTCCGAACTGATACGACCTTTAAACCTTCAAGAAAACTAGCGTATCTACCCTTCTTAAAATGCCGGCGACGCGCCTGTGACTCCTCTGGGGGTAAGGGCAGTTCGCCGTTTCGCCAGACCCGAGCGGATGGCACCTACGCGCCTCAAAGGACCATTAGACCACCACAGACGGGGCCCTATAGGGCTGTTGTTCAGCCGGGTTGCGGGTTAAGCGCAATGAGTCACCGCGGCCTCGGCCCTGAGCTGGAGAAGGAACGGGAACGGGAACGGGAGGGGGGGTGGGGGTCAAAAACAGTCTGTCGCTCTCTCTCGCCTTACCGTAGGAGGAAAAGGCCATTTGATGATTTTCCGCGATGATCATTTGGTGCGTTGGCAAAAAAGCCATCGCACCATCCGTGTTTCTCCATTCTCTCATCATCTATCTTTCATCAGCCATTTTCTCAATAAGTGAGTTTTGGTTGTGTTTCCACTATATTTGTAGCCTTTTAATATCCAGACTATACGAACCACGTTGTAAAACCAAAATTAAGAGTAACTGATGCAGAAGTTTTGTGAAATCTCCAGTAGACTCGCTTAGAAGTTCCACCCGTAGCTGCCGACTTGGCAATATGCCAATACACTAAAAAACTAACAATAAACTATTACCATAAAAACAGTGAGCCAATGTGAAATATTCCTTTTTTGATAACGAATGATTATTCAACCAAATTTATTAGCTGCGTACAGATAGCAACACAAATGTATGGGTAGTAAAAAAAGAAATGGTTTTATATATTACCTTTTATTTATTACTTCCTTTTCATTCCAGTAAGATTGATTGGCGAACGACAAGGTCGAACCTGAAAAGCGTCAGATTACCTATTATATTAAATATATAAAAAAAAATCCTTATTTATTATATTAATTGCCAGTATAACATTTTGCAGAGGTAAACTTGATCCTTGAAGTTCATGGTAACTATATTTGAAGTAGGAATCGATTTTATTGAACCTTCGAAGATATTTTTGCTCCAAACTGGAGATATGGACGTGCAATAATTCACAAGTCGCGTGGACGAGAAATCACAATGCAATTGCAAAATTTTCTTCTATCGTATGTAGATTCATCGGTGCGAACCGTCGGACGGTTCGACGCGTCCGATAAGTTCCAAACTTGCCCATTTGGGGCTCACTTTGCATGAAGTTTGTTCTACTAGGCCAGGGATGGCAAACCATTGGCACGTATCCCATTCATAGTATGTAAGGCTAGCTTCCGCAGCGTGCTATGCTGATAAAAAACAAGCTATGTGTTAATCCAGGATATCACCTATCTATACTCGTATACTAAATCGGTCCATCCGTTTTGCCGTGAAAAAAATTTAAACATAAATCATACATTCTCACAAACAATCACATTTAGTTAATACACACAGAACAATATTTCAGGGACGCCAGAAACAGAAAAAAAGCTAGTGACACAGTTGTGATGTCTTTGGTGTATTTTGGCTACGGTGACAGTTTACTATCAGCGGGTCTGTAAGCTTTGTACTAATGATAATATGTAGTTACTACAAAACTTCATAGCATATTAGTACTGGTGTTGATTTTGTGGAACATTTATGACATCAATGAATTCATTGAGGAAATTTAAGAATTATGAAATTCCATGTTGATTAAATGTTCACGATCTCTGAGTTAGGTCATTCGCCTTCTGAGCCCGTTATAGCTGCACAGGGACTGAAAGATGTGTTAAAAAGTTCTGGAACGAATCAAAACTATTTCCATGGCCGAGCGACTTACGAGGAAGGTTTCCTCGAAGTTTTTGGAGCAAAGGGCTTAATTTCCGATGTTTCGTTTTTGTAATTTACGAGTTCGTAGTTTAGATTCATAGATTCTTTCGACGCTTTTTCGAGGGATGAGGAAAATGTCCGAATGGAAAATTTTGTTCGGCAATGTAAAAAGTTTTATTTAGGTCACCGCACATCTTGCTTTGATCGTAAATTAAATTGGTTATTAATTACTTTATAAATTTAATATATATTCTGTTAATTACATATACTTTTTTAATATAGTACCTAGCCAATATCAGGAACAACAACAAGATTACCTTGACAAAGAAACTTTTATTTTAGTCCCAAACTTTGAACCCAATAATAAAGTTTGGCTGAAGAATGGCATACCTAGCGTGTTATATTCATCACATGAGAGGTATTTACGCAGCTCTAATAGACTTGCAAAGTCGGCTTAAACTAAGCCGCGTTCACGTTATTGTGAAGTTTATTATTCATATTTTCAGGATAGGGTAGTTATTTATCTATGAGAATCTGTTTCCCTCCCTATGTGAAGGGTTTCGAAAAAAGAGGATTATACCCTTCCTTTGATATGTGACATTTTTTGTTGGAAAATCTGCTCCTTTATGTCAGAACGAGAGTTTTTATCCAGCTACTATTATGGACGTGATTTGTTTATGGAAATGCGTTTCAATTGTACGTTGGACAACAAATTACTCAACTTTACCATTTTGCTGTTTGTGTTGTTTTCATTTGTTGGTGCTTTTTAATTTTTTTTTGAGGCGTGACAGCTGTCGAATGTCTTCTTTCGCCTTGATGGGTGAGGCGACAGGCACACTGTTAGAGTCTTACTAATTAAAAATCATCTAGGATTGGAGCCGCGGTACTGTGCTGGCATCCGCAACCGCGGCTGGACATCGGCTCTATCGGGCCCCGTCTGTGGTAGTCTAATGGCACTTTGAAGCACGTGTCGAACACATTGCGCCGTACGCTCGGATCTGAGTCAATACGACTAGTCACCCTTGATCACCGAACGCGTTGAATAGATATACTACTCTGTCAAGAAAGTACCGGGAAAAAGTCAATAATACACAAAATGTTTGTTATTCATCTAAATTTATTTTATCACCTTCAAAGTACTACTCTGTCAAGAAAGTACCGGGAAAAAGTCAATAATACACAAAATGTTTGTTATTCATCTAAATTTATTTTATAACCTTCAAAGTATGCTCCTTCAGAAACGATACACTTACGCCAACGAATAATCCAATCATCGAAACTTTTTTTAAACGCTGTTTCCGGAATTGAGTTCAGTGCTCGCCGCGAATTCTCCTTTATGTCTTCTAACGATTGAAAACGGGTGCCACGAAGGGGTAATTTGAGTGTGGGAAAAAGAAAGAAGTCGGCTGGAGCCATATCTGGTGAATATGGTGGCTGCTCGATGGTGTTAGTTGAGTGTTTGGACAAAAAATCGTTTACATTGATGGCCTTGTGCGAAGGCGCATTATCGTGATGCAAAATCCAAGAATTTTCTTTCCACATTTCTGGCCTTTTTCGTCGAATTTGTTCTCTTAAACGCCGCATAACGCTCAAATAATATTCTTTATTTACCGTTTGACCTTCGGGCAAGAATTCTGAGTGCACAACACCGCGATAGTCAAAGAAAACAGTCAACATGACTTTGACTTTTGATCGACTTTGACGTGGTTTTTTCGGTTTTGGTTCAGTTGGAAGGCGCCATTCCGAAGCTTGTTGACTAGTTTGCATGTCAAACTCGTAAACCCACGTCTAGTCACCAGTAACAATGCGTTTCATGAATGTTGGGTCGGTATTGAATCGTTCTAGCATGTCCTCAGCGACTTTCATGCGATTTAGTTTTTGAAGAAAATTCAGGTCTTTTGGGACTAGCCGAGCGGCAACACGTTTCATACCCAAATTATTTGTTAAAATGGTACGGATCGACTCGTGAGATACAGAAAGTTCGGCGGCCATCTCTCTCAAACTTGAATGACGATTTTCAGTCACTATTTCTTTCACTTTTGCGATGTTAACTTCAGTTGCAGACGTTGATGGCCTACCAGAACGAGGCAAATCTTTCATCACATCTCGACCGCTTTTGAACGCTTTGTACCACTCATAAGCACGTGTTTTTGATAAAGTCGATTCACCGTAAGCCTTCTGTAACATTTTGAGTGGCGATGCAAAATTAAAGACAAACTCTTTGTTCGTTGTTTTGGTCCATTATGAAATTCGCAATACACACTAGATATTATAAAACTAAAAACAGCACTGTTTTTAATATAAATAACAGATGCAACTCAAATTCCGCGCCAAAATGGAAAACAGTTATGCCAATCACACAACAACAAAAAAAATTAAAATTCGAATTTGGAACCATAAAAAAAACATTCATTCCCGATACTTTGTTGACTGAATGTATACATGAATTTAAAAAAAAAATGTGTATTTTAAAAGTAGATATATCTCCACAGTAAACGTAACTGCTGTAGGCGAGCTTTATAAAAAGCAATCCAAGATTATGTTAAAGCAAGAAATATAAAGAAAAATAAAAACAAAATTGTTCTGAGGTAAAATTTTAACTGGAGAATTTTTTTAGATTTGCACTTTGATGTTAAACTTTATACTTTGAAGGAATTACGTACGTTAACGGGGTTTCTCAGTTCATAAAAAAGGATTTGCGGAAAGCCGTACGGGTCAAAAGAGGCCGTAAAGTTTTATGCCGACTTCAGTAAGCCAGGACTATGAGCAGAAGGTTGTTCAGTGCCGAGTATGTACCTTTAGTAACACCTTTACTCAAAAAGATTTATTGCTTTTTATATTTTCTTTTTGATGGAAGATTATTGTCAATTGTATTGCAATCGGGAGCGTCAGACTTTTATTGATTAAAATACACCCCTTCTTTTCTTTAACTTCATGGCCACACTTTTTTAATCACGTTCTGATGGAATATCTTAATCGACTAAAAATGTGTAAGTATAAGGAGCATCTTAGTAAGCTACAAGGATTGATATGCAATTGTAAATGTTTCCAACTCAGTTTAAGATTGAATCCCAGCTCCAGCAAACTTCCGTGGTTGATCCACTCTGTGTTAGTTGGATCTAGGACATTAGTAATGCATTAGACATTGTTACTAAGTTTCTCTACTATGCAAGCTCAGCTTGTGGACCAACTTCATAACAACTGAATACCTAAATTTGTCAACCCTTTGATTTTCTTGGAAATATTTGAGACGTGAAGATTTTGAAGTGAAATTGTTAAACTTAAATTAGTTGTGTTTATAAATGCATAAAAAGACATACAAGAACACCGGCGTGAAACAAACACAGCGTTGTGTTTTGCCGTGTGAGTGAGGTTACCGGAGGCCCAATCCTTCCCCTCCCCCAATCCCTCCTCAATCCCTAAATCTCCAAATCCCTAATCCCTAAATGGTCAGCAACGCACTCGCAACTCCTCCGTTGCGGGTGTCCATGGGCGGTGCTGATTGCTTACCATCAGGTAAAAAAGAGATTATAGTAAATGTGTTAGTAATCATTTAATTTGTTACTAGAAGCGAAACACGTTAGTTTTTATGGTTCTGTATCGAATTCTATAAATAAGACTCCGTTGTCCGTATGTTAC